CTTTTTTCTTTTTGCTTATGTGGTGCTGAGGAATCGAACCCAGGGCCTCAGGCATGCAAGGCAAGCGCTCTACCACTGAGCCACCTTCCCAGCCCCTCTTCTACATTTCTTGTTTCAACTTTTAACTCATCCTGCTTTGCCATATGCTTTTATTTCTTTACTATTATTTACTATTGAGATTGCCATTTCATTTCACATGGGATTGTCTCCTTTGTTACATTCCTTGTAAAGACAGAATATTCTATCTTTACCAGACTCCTTGTTACATCCCTTCTAATCTACCTTGCTACTCTAGCTTTACTAAGCTGTCTAGTTATTTTCATTTTCCTTACTTTCATAATGTTTACTACCACAGCACACAGCTGCTAAAAATAAAAATATAAGGTCCTTCACTCACAGCTCCAACTTGCTTCTCCAGTTGTATCATGTATAACTTCACTTGGACCTAGTATTTCTGCCATAGCACATCTTCCAGCTGCTTAAGCAGACCATCCAGAAGTGATAGCACTTCACCTCTTTATATGCTTTTCCTGTCTTTCTGGTTAATGAGCTCCTTTTCAGCCTTAAGTGTTACCATGAGCGGGAAGCCTTTACCTGTTGTCTCTTTCCTTAGCATGTAAAACATTTGTTGTGAAAATTTCCATTCATAATTATTGTTGTACCCATTGTATTGATTTTTTTTCAATAAATTCAATTTTTTTTGGTCAGTCGTGGGGCTTGAACTCTGGGCTTGGGTGCTGTCCCTGCACTCTTCAGCTCAAGGTGAGCATTCCACCGTTTGAGCCACAGCACCACTTCCTGTTTTCTGGTGGTTTATTGGAGATAGGAGTCTCAAAGACTTTCCTACCCAGGCTGGCTTTGAACCCTGATCCTCAGATCTCAGTCTCCTGAGTAGCTAGGATTACAGGTATGAGCCACCGGCATCTGGCAATACATTTTGTTTTGGAAAGGTGTTTCAATTCAACATTTCAGTTTATGAGTATAATATATCTCAATCAATGTCACCCTCTTCATCATTCTCCACCATCTCTCCCAAACCTACTTAGCTCTTCAATTTTCTTAGCTTTATTTTCATACATGGACATTGAATAGTATGACTCATTCTTTTACCCTTCCTCTCTTTATTTCTCTCCCCCTGTCCCAGGATCTCACTCTGTCACACTTGAGGTACTAGCTTTTTGGTATTCATTTTGGTAAATTGTAAATTAGTTGTTCAAAGCTCCTTTAACATAATTTTGGACTTGGAATTCTTCCTTGCATATACTATAGTTCAGTATATACTAGGGTATAGCATATTCTATAGTTCATATGTTGCTGTATATGTGCATATGACCCTGTATATGTTTATATATGTATGATAAAATAGTTCTAACTTCCACATATGAGAGAAGCCATGTGTCCTTTGTATCTTTTGGGTCAGACTTACTTCACTTAGCATAATTTTTTTTGGTTGGTAGTGGGGCTTGAACTCAGGACCTGGGCGCTGTCTCTAAGCTTTTATGCTCAAGGCTAGCACTCTACTACTTTGATCCACGGCACCACTTCCAGTTTTCAGTTGGTTAATTGGAGATAAGAGTCTCTTGGGCTTTCCTGCCTGGGCTGGCTTTGAACTGTGATCTTCAGATCAGCCTCCTGAGTAGCTAGTATTACAGGCATGAGCCACCAGTGCCAAGCTCCTTTAACATAACTTTATAGCTGTCTTGTTGAGGGAAATCAATTTGAGGACTGATGGGGAATTAGCATATACTAATACATAGTTTAAGGATTCTGACTAATATCAAGGTGGTTTTTCTCTTGGTTCTAGTTGATTATATTCTCATGGACCCAGTGGAGAAGCAAAGGCTCTTCATTGAGAGCCTCCCTCGCGTGTTTCCTCTCAGAGTGATCCGGGCCCCTGTGCCCTGGCACACTGTCTACCAGAATGCCAAGAAGTGGAACGAGGAGCATCTGCACACAGTGAACCCCATGATGCTCCAACTGAAAGAACTGTGGTTTTCAGAGTAAGAAGGGCCTGTCCTTCCCTTTCCCCATGCCCCCCTTTCCTTATTGTTTCTGTGCACACATAAGCAAGCCTCTTAGAGGGGGCCTGACCTTGCATCAAAATGGGACGAACAAATATCCTAGACTCCAAGTACATATGAACTATGAACTATAAACTATGAATTATATGAACTATGAGTGACAATCCCACATGTAAAAGTTAAGCAGCCCTCCTTTGTGAATCTGTCTCAAATCACTGGAGCATGTTGGTTAATAGCCACACACTGAATCAATTGGCTTTGGAGGTAATACAGCATGTGACATTACCTTGTGCTGTCCTTTCTTTATCTGTAAATTTGACATAACAGTTCCTACTTTATAGGGTTGCTGGGAAGAATGTCTAATTTAATAGATGCAACATGTTTATTATAGTACCTGATAAAACCTAAGTACCAGAGAAGTATTAATTCACCATCATCTTCAGGATGATACTGTTATCCTAAATATAATTGCATGTCTGCTCCCTTATTTGTCTACCTATGAGATGAATGGAGGATGGGGATTTGGGTTTTATTCCTGTAGGAACTCAGCTGCAATCTGTGGTCTCTCAGTTACATTTATAATGACTAAATTGGCTGCAAGACTCATAGGTGTAAGGAGGAGGGAGGTGGAGCCTCCTTTATCACTTTATACTTTTTCAAAAATTGATCTGCATACTGTTAGTTCACACTGTCAACCTAACTACTCAGGAGTCTGAGATCTGAGGATTGCAGTTTGAAGCTACCCTGGGTAGAAAAGTTTATAAGACTCTTCAGTTATCTGTAATTAACCACCAAAAAGCTGAAGGTAGAGCTATGGCTCAAGTGGGAGAGGCTAGCCTTGAACAAAACAGCTCAGGGACAGCACTCAGACTCGGAGTTCAAGTCCCAGCACTGGCAAGTGTGCGCGTGCGTGTGCGCACGCACGCACGCACACACACGCGCACATACACGCACACACACAATTGAGATATACAATAGTTTCTTGGGATACATTAGCTATTGGTCCACAACCCTCAATGGATACCAAAATCCACAGATGCTCAAGTTCCTTATATAAAGTGGCATAATATTTGCATGTAATCTATGCACTTTCTTATATATTTTTTATTCATTTTATTTACATTTTTTTTTTTTTTTTTGCTGGTCATGGGGCCTGAACTATGGGCCTGTGCACTGTCCCGCAGCTCTTCAGCTCAAGGATAGCACTTTACCACTTGAGCCGCAGCACCACTTCTGGCTTTTTCTGTTTATGTGGTGCTGAGGAATCAAACCCAGGGCCTCATGCATGCAAGGCAAGCACTCTACCACAGAGCCACTTTCCCAGCCCACTTTCTCATATATTTTAAACTATCTCTAAATTACTTATATCTAGTATATTGAAAGTACTATGTAATTAGTTGTTCTAACATATTATTTAGGAAAAATCATAAGAAAAATTTCTGTACATATTGAGTACAGAAGCAATTTTTTCCAAATATTTTTTGTCTCTGGTTGCATTATACATACATAACCCACAGATATAGGAAGGAAATTGTAAGGTACATTGCATAAAATTCATCCTTTTAAAAATGTGTGCCATCTTCATCATTAATTAAAAAATATTTTCATCACCCTAGAAATCCTGTACCTATTAGCAGCTCTCTATCAGCCTCTGTCAACTAATTCACTTTCTTTCTTGGTTGATTTACCTATTCTGGACATCTCATATAAATAGAATCGTATAAAATATGTCCTTCCACCTGTGGTTTCTTTCACTAAATATATTTCCAATATTTATTCACATTGAAGCATGTATCAGTGTAGCATTCCTATTTCTGGCTGAATAATCCATTGTATGATTACATCAGTTTTTTTGATTACTCATTTACTGGTCCTCTTAAAGGATACAAATCTTGGTGAAATCACTGAAAGTTTAACCTAATAATCCATGTAGGTCCTTTATTAGAAACCTTAGAGGCAGATAGTTGTATTTAATGTTAATTGGCTGGCAGTCAGTGGCACAGATATTTTGCTTTTGGAAGATCTCTTAGTTTTGAATATGTTAGTCTTAGGAATATCTTGTTAATGGAGAACTTATTTGTTTTAAAAAGGAATTGAGCGGGATGCTGGTGGCTCACACCTGTAACCGAGCTATTCAAGACACTGAGATCTGAAGATTGTGGTGCAAAGCAAGCCTGGCCATGAAAATCTGTGTAACCACCAAAAAGCTGAGGGAAAAAAAACTGGAAGTGTAACTATAGCCCAAGTGGTAGAGCACTAGCCTTGAGTAAAAAGCTCAGGGAGAGTGCTCAGGCTTTGAATTCAAGCCCCAGAACCAGTACACACACACACACACACACACACACACACAGTAGTTGAAGGTGAAGTCCATATAGGATAGAGGCTACCAATGATGAGAAATAACTACATTCTCTATAATATACTGGCAGTGCTAGTCTGAACAATAGAAAAAGTAATTTCCTAATTAGGCAGAAGTATATACAGTAATCATTTCTGAAACTACTTATTTCTAGTTTTAGGTGACTATGTGATTTGGAGTAAATGAATGACATTGTTTCTTAATATGCAAATAGGAAATATAAAGAGAGAGTTAGCTAAAGTGCTTAGAATAATATTTGTCATACTATATTTGTTCAATAAATCAAAGCATTTCTTTTCATTACAAGCATGTTTATGGAATCAAAAAGTAAATCAAGACCAGGTGCTGGTGGCTCACACTAGTAGTTTACTCAGAAGGATCTTTGTTTGAAGGTAGCCCAAGCAGAAAAATTTATGAGACTTTTATTTCCAATTAACTACAAAACAGGCCAGAAGTAGAGCTATGGTTTAAGAGGTAGAGTGCTGGTATTGAGCACAAAAGCTCAGGGACAGTGCCCAAGACCAGAGTTAAAGCCACAGGAAGATGGTTAAAAAAAAAGTAAGTAAGAAAGAAAGAAAATTAAACAGTGTGGTGGGTCATTCTTGTAGGACAACTAGGCAAAAAAGTTCACAAGACTCCCATTTCAACCAGTTTTCAAAAACGAGTATGATGGCAGGTGCCTGTTGTCTTAGCTATGTGGGAAACATAAATAGGAGGATTGCAATCCAGGCTGGTCTGGGAAAAAGCAAAAATTTAATTGAAAAATAAAGAAAGCAAAAAGTACTAAGAGAGTGACTCAAGTGACAGAAGGCAAGACAAGGCCCCGAGTTCAATCCCCAGCACTATCCAAAAAATACATAAGTGAAAATAAATTAACCTAGAAAATATTGAGGAAGTCACTCTTAGAGCTGGTAAAATTGCTAGAGCTCAGTTCTAAAAAGATAATGGAGCTGGTGCTGGTGGCTCACACCTGTAATCCTAGCTACCAGGAGGCTGAGCTCTGAGGATCAAAGCTAGCCCAGGTAGGAAAGTCCATGAGACTCTTAACTCCAATTAACTACTGGAAAACCAGAAGTGGCACTGTGGCTCAAGTGATAGAGCACTTGCCTTGAGCTGAATCACTCAGGGACAGCACCCAGGTCATGAGTTCAAGCCCCACGACTGAAAAAAAAAAAAGATAATGGGCAATCATGTGCTTGTGAGTTTAAATTGATCAAATAGAAAAAAGATGGCAAATGAAGGAATCTATAGATTCTAGTGAGAAGAAATTAGAAGGAAATTTTATTTTCTTTTTTTCTAAAGAAAACAATGAAGACAAGAGGTACCCAAAATGATGAGAGTCATTTAGAAAAGTTTGTTGAGGGCTGGGAATGTGGCTTAGTGGTAGAGCGCTTGCCTAGTGTGCATGAAACCCAGGGCTCAATTCTGCAGTACCACATAAACAGAAAAGGTCAGAAGTGGTGCTGTGGCTCAAGTGATAGAGTGCTAGCCTTGAGCATGAGAAGCTCAGGGACAGTGCCCAGGCCCTGAGTTCAAGCCCCAGGACTGGCAAAAAAAAGAAAGAGACGTTCATTGACTTAATCCAAAATATCAACAATGAGAGAGACTTGTTAAGAAAATGATACAGAGCAATTTTCTCATGTGATTGGCACCATTTAACTTAAAACCTTATAAGAAAAAAAATCTACGAGGGTTGATTGTTGGAGGATAGGGAGCTTGGGGAGCTAGACTGAGAATTTAAGGAAAAAAGTAGAAAACCTGGTCTAGCCAATGTGAGAAGTTTGTTATGCATTAAAAAAAAAGATCAGCAAGACCTGGGTGTCAGTGGCTCAAGCCTGTAATCCTAGCTACTCAGAAGACTGAGATCTGAGGATCACTATGCAGGAAAGTCTTTTATTTCCAGTTACTCACCAAAAATCCCCAAGTGGTACAACTCTATCTTTGAGTGAACAAGCTAAAGGATAGCACCCAGTTCACATTCTAGTACCAGAAAAAGCAAAAATCAAGAATTATCAGGAGCTAACAAGTGCCATACTAGGGTTGAATATCAAACATGTGACAAGTGCTTTGTTCCTGGTCACATCACTACCACTAAGTTCACTACCTACTGTAGACATGTAGGCTAAAAATTCTGGGGGACAAGGAAATCTAATTAAATTAAAAAATTTTAAAATTATTATTATAAAGGTGTGATAACAGAGGGGGTCACAGTTACATTAATCAGTATATTTCTTTTTGAACAATGCCACCCTTTTCCTTGCCCTGTCTGTTTTTCCCTCCCCTTCCCACCTACAAGTTCTAGAATCCATTTTCAATATATAGAAATCTAATTTCTAATGAAAATGAGAGGGAAGATCTGGGACAAGCTGAAAATCTGGCATAGATCTAGTATGAGAAATGCTAGTCATAAATGATTTAAATGAGCAAGTTATTGAATGGAATAGATGTTTTAGAAAGAGGATTGGGGAAATGCAGCTATGGTTCAAGTGATAGAGCACTAGCCTTGGGAAAAAAAAAAAACTAAGGAAAGCAGGGTGCTGGTGGCTCATGCCTGTAATCCTAGCTGCTCAGGAAGCTGAGATCTGAGAATGATTCAAAGCCAGCCCAGGTAGATAAGTCTGAGAAATTCTCATCTTCTGGTCCATGAGACCAGAAAACTGTAAGTGGCTCTGTGGCTCAAAGTGGTAGAGTGCTAGCTTTAAGCAAAAGAGCTCAGGGACAATGCCTAGGCCCTGAGTTGAAGCCCCAGTGCTGGCACAATAAATAAGTAAAGAAATGTAAATACTGTAGGCTAAAAGAGACCTTGGGGAGTGTGGCAGGTCATCCACAGATGTGGGAGAACTAGGTGAAATTAAGAGTGTCATGGGAAGGTAGAGGAGATTAATCCATTCATTTGATGAATATCCTTAATGCCTGCCTGAGGGTGTTCACTATTGTTGAGAGCTGTTGATGACAGTGGAAGTTCTGCCTGGACTTATTACAGAAATTTCATGGAGCTTCACCACCTCTTTTATGAAGAGTGTGACTGAAAAGGGCTGCCTGGGTCCCAGTAAAGAAGCATCAGCATGGATTAGAAAAGTGACTCACACTGGGCACTGGTGCTTACACCTGTTTTCCTGACTACTAAGGAGACTGAAATCTGAGGATTGAGGTTAGAAGCCAGATCAGGGCAGACAAATCCACCACTATTTATTTACCAAAAAAACAAAAGTGAAGCTGTGGTTCAAGTGGCTGAGCTCCTGAGCAAAGAACCCAAGAGACAGTGCCTAGGTCCAGAGTTCAAGTCCCAGTACCCGCACAAAAGCAGACAAAAAACAACAAATAGTGATCCATGAACATGAAGGCAGGATCTGCCTCCTACAGGGTCTGCTACATTTCCTAACTCCAGGTACACTATCTACATAGAATACAATGTGAATGAATATTGTTCTGTGCAGTAGACAGTCACATTCCTGGTTGACAACATGAGTGGGTTAATAGGAGGGAAAAAGAAGTAGAAGGAGATCTTTTCCCTAGCCCCATTTTCCTACTCACACAATTTGACATTGTGCAATGTCAATAGTTTGTGGATCATTTTTCTTTTTCTTTTTTTTTTGGGGGGGGATCCGGTCATGGGGCCTGAACTCTGGGCCTGGGCGCTGTTCCTCAGCTCTTCAGCTCAAGGTTAGCGCTCTACCACTTGAGCCCCAGCACCACTTCCGGTTTTTTTCTTTTTGCTTATGTGGTGCTGAGGAACCGAACCCAGGGCCTCAGGCATGCAAGGCAAGCACTATACCACTGAGCCACCTTCCCAGCACCTGTGGATCATTTTTCTAATAGGCCCTGAAGTATATATTTTAAAAATACTTTTATTATCTTTAAGTAGTTTTACAAAGGACTTGTCATTCAACAAAGCAGTTTATGAATGAATACAGTGTGTCTTGATTAATGTCACCCCTTTCAATATTCTCACCCATCCCTCTGAACCATCTGTGTGTGTGTATGTGTGTGTGTGTGTGTTGGTTTTGGGGCTTGAACACAGGGCCTGGCACTGTCTATAAGCTCTTTTGCCCAAGGCTAGTGCTCTACTATTTGAGCCACAGCTCTACTTCTGGATTTTTGGTGATTAGTTGGAGATAAAAGTCTCATAGACTTTCCTGTCTGGGCAGGTGATTCTTAGATCTTAGCTTTCTGAAGCTAGGATTACAGCTATGAGCCACTAGTGCCCGGATAGCATAAAATTTTGTTGTTGTTGTTTGTGGGGCTTGAACTCTGGTTGTTGGTTGTGAGGCTTGAACTCTGTGCTTGGGCACTGTCCCTGCGTTCTTCAGCTCCAGGCAAGCACTTTACTGCTTGAGCCACAGCGGCACTTCTGATTTTCTAGTGGCTTATTGGAGATAAGAGTCTCACAGACTTTCCTGCCCAGGCTGGCTTTGAACCCTGATCCTCAGATCTCAGCCTCCTGAATAGCTAGGATTACAGGTGTGAACCATCGGCGCCTGTCTAGAGTACTTTATAATATAGTTTGCCCTTTATATTTACACACTGCACATCTTTCTTTCCAACTTACTGTAGGCCAAAAACAAAACAAAAAGAAAAACTATGTCTGATCATGCACATGCCTATAAACCCAGAGAGGTGGTAGGATGAAAAAAATTAAGCCATGGGCTCAAATGGTAGTGTGTGTGCCTAGCAAGCATAAAGTCCTCAGTGGAAATTGTCCTGACCTCCAAAAAAGAAAGAAAGAAAGAAAAGGAGTGTGAGTCCAGCCTGGGATGTAGAGGAATACCCCTCATCCCAAATAAAAACATATGCCTGAGCTATTGGCACCTGGCATTATACAAGATTTGTTACTAGCCTTTCACTTTAGGAAATCTCTCCATTTCTTTTGGCAGTTTTAAAGACCTCAGATTTGTTCGAACAGCAGAGATACTGGAAGGAAAACTGCCTTTGCAGCCTAAAGAATACTGGGACGTGATCCAGAAGCACTGCGTGGAGGCACGTCAGATTCTTCTCAACAGGTCAGTATCTGACCACAGAGAATGAGGCTGTGACAAAGCAGGGTAAAGACACAACTTCAGCTGGAGGCCTGGCTCAACTAGTAGAGTACCTGCCTAGCAAGTGCCTGAGTTCAGGCCCCAATACCATTAAAAAAATAATGGCACAGAACTCTCTGCAATAAAAACTAGGTGTGCCACCGGGGAATTATACAAAGTTTATTGACTTCCAACTGACCCTTTTCCCTCTGCACTTCCTGGCAGCCTCCTATTCAACTGCTCTGCCCTTCAGTCCTCAGCTCCCTCTGTTATTTGAAACTCTTTCATTGCTCTTCTTTGTTGGAATGTCACTTTTTTTTCTCCTTCTGAATGGGTTACAGGACAATGTATTTCGAATGACTTGTATTTAGAAGGCCCGGAAGAACAGCCTCAAGATTCCAGGCTCACGCCTGGCACAAGTGGCTTCTGCCTATAATCCTAGCTACACAGAAGGCTGAGATCTGAGGATCATAGTTTGAAGCCAGCCTGGGCAAGAAAGTCTGATCTCTAATTATCCCCAAATAAGCTAGAAGTGGAAGTGTGGCTCCACGGCCAGCATGTGTGCACCCGCTTCCCCGCCTCCCCCCAGGATTCCAGGTTAGGGGATATTCAGATAGTTGAATCAGTTCTTCCCCGTTTGCAAGTGTATGCAGGATCATCTCAAAACCATGACCTTATATGAAATAGTGATTGTATTAGTCTCACTTTCCTGTGCTGGGATAAATACCCAAGAAAACAAGTTAAAGGAGGAAACTGTTATTTTGGCTCAGTGGTTTCAATCCATCATGGTAGGCAGGGGGTGGTGGAGTGTGACAGTTCACATCTTGACAGGCTGAATGGGGGAAAGTGGGGGGGCAGAGAGAGAGGGGGGAAGGAGAGAGGGAGAGGGAAAGGGAGGGAAGGAGAGAGAGGAGGAGAAGGGAGAGGGAAGGAGGGAGAGGGAGGGAGGAAAGGTGGGAGAGGGAGTGGAGAGGGAAACCAGAGAGGCAGGAAGGAAGGAAAGAAAGAGGAGGGGGGAAAGGAGGAGGGTGTTAGAAAGGGAATACCTGTACTTCCTGTTTTTTCTTCTGTTGATTTACAGAGGGTCTTCTCTGCTTGGCTAATGGATACACACTGACAGACACACCCTAATGTGTGCATCACTATTCTCCCAGGCACCTCTCAATCCAATCAAGTTAACAAACAGGCTCACCACCACAAGCCATAGTAATAGCTACTGACAGATTAATATTATCAAAGAAGTATGCCATAGCTGGTGCAAAGAGGTTGCTCACTAAATATCTTCATTATTCCCTTTGCTACCGTGACTACTCCTTATTTCTCTAATTGACTGTCAAGATGGAGTGATCAGTGGTTCCCGCTGGGAAGAAGTGGAAGGAAAGGAGCAATGGGACACTCACTTTTCAGTTGCTGATTCTACTCCCAACTTCTGAGCAGCTGTAGACCATGTGGGAGTTTTTTCTCCTTATTTTCTTTTCTCCTCTTTCTTTCCCTCTACAAAAGTCTAAACCAGAGACCTGGAAGCTGCTAGAGAGACAAATTCAAAGGAACTTTCCAATCCCTTGTGCCTTTTATACTTTAAACTTCACCCTCCAGTTCTGTCCATATGAATCCTGCAACTCAAATCTAAATTTCTTGCAGGAAGGGTTTTTTGTTTTTTTGTTTTTTTTTAGGCAAAAATAGGTGATGAATCTGCAAGGCTGAGAAGTGGGCAATGAACATCCTCTATCACCACAGACAATAGGGAGGAGGCAGAGAGAGATTCTCAGACCTAAGAAAGCCGCTTACACAAATGTTTTCCTTTTTATTCACTGATTTATTTGTTTTTACAGTTGGATCCCTACTTGCGCCCAGCTTTTTATCTCACAGAAAAAAAATTGGGTTCACTTTGCTCCTAAGAATGACTATGACTCCTCGCGAAACATCGAGGAATATTTTGCTTCCGTTGGGTCCTTCATGTCACTCCAGCTCAGAGAGTTGGTCATTAAGTCCCTTGAGGACCTCGTTTCCTTCTTCATGATACATAAGGTATGCAGGGGATCTGAACTCAGAATTCTCACAGGAAGACATCCTAATTAGAACTGGGAGTCTATCATGTATGTCCTTAGCTGTGAACCAGGCCAGAAAACAAAACCCTGAATTTGAACAAATATTATGAGACTACTGGTGTATATTTATGTGTGTGTATGTGTATATATATATATATATATATATATATATATGTATATATATATGGACTGCGGTTTGAAGCTAGCCAGGGTAGATTCATCTGTGAGACTCTTTAATTAATTACAAAAAAAGAGATGGAATTAGAGCTGTGGCTCAAGTGGTAGAGCACTAACTAGCCTTGAGCAAAACAAAAAATAAAAAGAAGCTCAGGGATAGTGCCCATGCCCTGAGTTCAAGCCCCAGGACTGGTAAGTGGGCACATGCATGCATACACACACACACACACACACACACACACACACACACACACACAGAGTAGTAGTAAAGTTGTTAAGGGAATGTAAAGATTATATAAAATATAATACCACTTACAATGTGGAGGAAGGTCACTTATTTTCATCATCTCTGGAAAATGGAAGGAGTTAGAAAAGTTTGTTATTAACCCTTTGGTTGATATTCCGGGACTGATTATGTATTCATTGATGACAGTGATTTTTATTCTTCCTTCTTTGAAAGAAAAGGCTTGGTTGACCTCATTAATAACTTGCTTCAGTGAAATAAAGATAAAAACTTCACCAGGCACTGGTAACTCATGCCTGTAATCCTAGCTACTCAGGAAGCTGAGAACTGAGGACCTTGGTTCAAAGCCATCTCAGGCAGGAAAGTCCATGAAAATCTTATCTCTGATTAACCAACAAACTGGAAACAGTGTTGTGGCTCAAAGTGGTAGATTGTTAGCCTTGAGCAAAAGAACTCAGGAATAGTACCCAGGTTCCAAATTCAAGCCTCATGACTATCAAATATAAAATAAAATGAAAAATAAAAACTTCAAACATGGGGCTGGGAAGGTGGCTCAGTGGTAGAGTGCTTGCCTTGCATGCATGAGGCCCTGGGTTCAATTCCTGAGCACCACATAAGCAAAAAAAAAGCTGGAAGTGGCACTGTTGCTCAAGTGGTAGAGGGCTAGCCTTGAGTTGAAGAGCTGAGGGACAGTACCCAGGCCCAGAGTTCAGGGCCCATAACCGACAAAAAAAATAAAATAAAATAATTCAGACATGAAGTCCTAGTTTTCAAAACATCATTGTAGCTTTCTTTAGATTTAAATACCCTAGGACCAAGGAAGAATCTTTAGACTTTTCTGCTGTATGTATGTTTTACTTTAAAGAATAGTTAAAACAAAATCATAGCTATGCAGTAGGCTGAGATCTGATGGTTGCAGTTTGAAACCAACCTGGGCAGGAAAGTCAGCGAGACTCTTTTCTCCAATAAAGTACTCAGAAAAAGCTGCAAGTAGCCCTGTAACTTAAGTGGTAGGGTGATAACCTGGAGCCAAAAAGAAACTCAGGGACAGAGCCCAGACCTAGAATTCAAGCCCCAGGACTGACAAAAACAGATAAATGTACAAACCTCAACAACAACAAACAACAACAACAAAAACTTGCCTGGTTACAAAAGATTTTTTGAAGGGGTATTTTCCCAATTAAAATAAAAGTTGACCCTAAATTCAAAATTATAGAAACCAGCTGGACATGAGTGGATCACAAGAATAACACCAGCTACTCAGGAGGCTGATATTTGAGGATCATAGTTTGAAGCCAACCTAGGCAGGAAATTCCAATTGACTAATAAAAAGCCAGAAGCGGAAGTATGACTTAAGTGGTAGAGTACCGGACCTGAGTGAAAAAGCTAAAGGGACAGTGCCCAGGCCCTGAGTTCAAGCCTCAGTACTGATACAAAATACACACACACACACACACACACACACACACACACACACAGACACACACACACACACACAACCAATACTGATCACTTTTAATTTTTTTTATTTTGTCTTTTTTGGTATTGATGATTAAACCCAGAATGTGGCACTTGCTAGCTACATCTCAGCTCCCAGTGCTGACAATTTTGACTTCTGTGTTAGCACTCCAAGGAGGACCATTCTATATATTAAATACATTTACTTTTTACTAAAAATGTTTACTAGTGGGGCTGGGAAGGTGGCTCAGTGGTAGAGTGCTTGCCTTGCATGCATGAGGCCCTGGGTTCGATTCCCCAGCACCACATAAGCAAAAAGAAAAAAGCCCAAGTGGCGCTGTGGCTCAAGTGGTAGAGCGCTAGCCTTGAGCTGAAGAGCTGAGGGGACAGCACCCAGGCCCAGAGTTTAGGCCCCACAACTGGACCCCCCCCAAAAAATGTTTACTAGTAATTGTTTTACTAGTCTCTTTGAAAGAGGAAATTGGATATATTTGAGACATAGTAGATATTCAATTACTGTTCCTCACTCTTCCTTGAAAAGATTAGAAATCTCTAAAATCAGTTATTTGGACAAGTCTTGTAATCTGCACTATAGAAATTTCATTAGGCATGGTAGTTTTGTTTTTGGGTTTTTGTTTGTCTTCCAGCCTTAAGGCTTGAACTCAGGGCCTGGGCACTGTTCCTGATCTTTTCTGTTCAAGGCTAGTGCTTTACCACTTTGAGCCACTGGAGATAAGAGTCTCACAGACTTTCTTGCTTGGGTTGGCTTTGAATGACAATCCTCAGATCTCAGCCTTCTGAGTAGCTAGCGTTACAGGCATGATCCAATGATGCCCAGTAAAAGACAATATATGTGGCTAGTTTTTGTAGAGAATTAGAAATGTCATAGCTAGACATAATGCCTCATACTGTTTAAGCAGAGAACACTGAAGGATCATGATTCAAGGCCAGCCCAGGCAAAAAAAAGCTAACAGAACCTCATTTCAATCTCAGCTATATGGGAGGCTGTGGTAAGAGGATCATAATCTGAAACTATCTCTGGGCAACAACACACACCTCTTAATCTGAAAATAACTAAAGCAAAAAAGACTGGAATATAAGTGGTAGAACACCTGCCTAATGAGTGCAAGGGCCTGAGTTCAAACTCCAGTAATGCCAAAAAGAAAAGAGGAGGAAATGTGTTCACATCACTTTGTTATAGGAAAGTTGACATTTTAAGTACTGAAATAAACTATATGCCAATCAACAATGCAATTTGAGACAAACTATTCATTCTTTTGGATATAGTCAGTGTATGTTTATTGAACGCTTACTATGTGATAAATACTGTTTTCCACTTTTGAGTTGGATAAAACCTAGATTCTGCCCTTGAGTTTAGAACAAAGGTAAGATGCACTTACAAATTCTTTTTTTTTGATATTTTTTAAAATTTCATTTTATTGTAAAAATGCTGTACAGAGGGGTTATAGTTACATTAGTAAAGTAATGAGTACATTTCTTGTCGAGCATTTTTATTCCTCCTTTGTCTTTTGTTTTTGGTCAGTTATGGGACTTGAACTGTGAGCTTGGGCACTGTCCCCGCACTCTTCAGTTCAAGACTTGCACTCTACCACTTGAGCCACAGCACCACTTCCAGTTTTCTGGTGGTTAATTGTAGAGTTTCATTGACTTTCCTGCTCAGGCTGGCTTTGAAACCATAGTCTTCAGATCTCCTGAGTAACTAGGATTACAGGCATGAGCCACTGGTGCTCAGCTATAAATTCTTTTAAAACAGAAAGGTAAAGTAGAACAGAACAGGGAAGTAGAAATATGGAAGTAGAAAGGGAAGTAGAAATATGGAAGTTCAGCAGTAGAAGAGATTTTATCTCGGTAAAGAACAGGAAGGCTTGTCAGAAGGAGCTTGTAGGCTAAGTTTGAAAGATGGAAAGACTTAGAAATTCGATTGCAGGAAGCAACAAGAAAAATAAGAAACAACTGAAAGGAAAAAAGGAGGCTGAGATCTGAGGATTTTAGTTCAGAGCCAGCCTAGGCAGGAAAGTCTGTGAGACTTATCTCCAATAACCATCAAAAAGATGGAAGTGGAGTTGTGGTTTAAGTAGTAGAGTGCTAGCCTTGTAAAGGGAAAAATGTATAAGGACAGGAAGAGGTTCACTATATTCAGCCTATATTTCAACATGAACAGTAGGATAGTACGATGTACTTCCTTTCTTAGTGCTCAGATGGAATTATGAATGCATGACAATCACTCCTTTGAATTTGAAAGGCACAATTTTGTGAGGCTTGTCCTATTTTGTATCTCTTTAAGAATGGAAATGATTTCAAGGAGCCCTATGAAGAGATGGAGTTCTTTATCCCTCAGCTAATTATGATCAATCTTGAAGTTCAGGAACCCACTATTGTCTTTAATCCACCTTTTGATGACTGCTGGCAATTAATAAGAAATTCTTTCTTGGAAATTATTAAGAACTCTGATGGGATTCCCAAGGTATGGTATTTACTTCATTCTTTTGTATTTTTGTTCACTTATTGAATAAATGTGTTTTTAAATGTTAGTTTGTATAGGACACAGTCCATATGAGATTCACTTAGGGAACACAATCAGACCATACCCACTCAATCTGAGAACGATTCTATCATAAATAAATGTCCAGATGTGCGCTGATGAGTCAGGCCTATAATGCTAGCTATTCAGGAGGCTGAGATCTGAGGATCATAGTTCAGAGCCAGCCTGGGCAGGAAAGTCTGTGAGACTCATCTCCAATTAGCCTTCAAAAAGATGGAAGTGGAGCTGTGGTTCAAGAGTGCTAACCTTGAGCAAAAAAGCTCAGGAACAGCAGCCAGGCCTTGTGTTCAATCCCGTGACTGGCACCAAAAAAGAAAATCCAAGAAAAGACTGTCCATGTTACTGAGAATGGGGCTTCTAATGAAGGAATTAAGACTTGTGATTTTAGAGGAACAGAGTGTCCCAAAGCATATTCAATTTGGGTTAAGTGTGTGTGTGTGTGTGTGTGTGTGTGTCTAGTACTAGAACTTGAATTCAGAGTGTTATGCTCTTGCTTAGCCTTTTTGTTCTAGATTGGCGCTCTACCTCTTGACCCACAACTCTACTTCTGGCTTTTTGCTGGTTAATTGGAGATGAGTCTCATGGACTTTCCTGCCCCAGCTTCAAACCATGATCCTCAAATCTCAGCCTACTAAGTAGTTAGGATTACATGTGTGAGCCACCAGTGCCTGGATTCTGGGTTAATTCCCTCTGGATAGTTGATAAGGCCAAAGGCCAGTATCCAGTTTAACTTGAGAAGGGTCCTCTGACATCTTGTAGTCTTGTTTTTTTTTCTCTTTTTCTCCCTTTATTTTTCTCCTCCTCTCTCCTTTCCTCTCTTCCTTCATCCCTTTCTCCCTCCCTACATCCCTCTCTTCCTCTTTCTCTGTCTCCTGACATCATTATGTATGATAAGGGTGCTCTTAGATCTCTTCTCTTTATAATAAAATCCTATCATCAGAAAGTTCCAAGAGATCAGAATGTGAAAACCCCACCTGAAACCAAATGCTCCAGCTTCCCCAGAGAACTCTGCATGTGGAGTTTTGATCTCAATCAAATTGGGTTAACATATAAATGGATGTGTTAGAAGTGGAGGAAAAATGGGCAGCTCTTTGTGACCTATATCCCTAAGAATGAAAGAGAAAGGCCCTATAATTTGAAAGGATAAATGCAGGGCTGGGGACAGATAAAGTATGTAGTCTGTTGAGTACTCTGTCACTACTGTTGATTGGCAGTGTTTGCAAGCCTGCTGTAGGCTGGAGAGCCTCTAAGAAAAGAAAACGAGCAGAAAGGGCAAAACGCAATAGACCAACAGGCTTTATTTGGTAGGAAAGCCTGGGAAGGGCAACCAAGTCTCCTTCAGCCCAGCAGATGGGGAAATCGCACACCACCCTTAAAAATAGGGTCTGTTTAAATATTAGGCATTAAGAGTGAAGTCAGGCAGAGCAAATGGAAGTGGGGTGAGCAATGTTTTTCTGACTCTGAGGAGTTTCAGGGTTTCAACGGCATCTGTGTCTGCCAATGGTGTCAGCATCAAATATGGCTTTAGTGCCAGGCTCTCTTCCAAGACCACCAGGTGCATTAGATTAAGTGATCAGTGGGATCAGCAAGCAAGGACAGTTCTAAAATATGGTTGTCAGGGGAAAAGATGAGTGATTTTAGTTCAAGTCATTTTCCATCAGAACAAACTTCAGGACTGCTACTACAGCAAACAGTCCAGCAGGGACTGGTACTAGATTTAGGGGTTTTTAATGCCAAGAGAACATACTCACAGGTCACAGATTATACTAGGTTTGAAAGCTGGAATTCTATGAGTCTCTATTAGCCTTTGAGAAGCCGCCACAGGATTTGAGTTCTGTATGTGTTGATTCCCATGGCATGGACTCCATCCCTGAGCCCCTCAGGCTGATTTATCACTAAACAGAATGGCGAAAGCTTACAGTCCTTTTAATGGAATGTCTAGGAAATATATGGAAACCCATCAGCAGGTGGCCAGTTTCTTCATCTCCTAGCAGGTTTGCCAAATCTGTCATTAAACCTAAGTCTTAAAAGTGTGGGGCAGGGAAGTCAGTAAGAAAGTTTTTGAAGATAAATAGCACTCAAGGAGCAGAAGGGAGGCATATTAATGAGAAAGGGTTATTAAAAGAAGCCCAAGAAAGTGTGAGAAATTATTGGTCTCAGTAATACAACCAAAGAAAACAAAGATCCCGACTGGAATGAATAGAGGTGAATGAAGCTGGATGTCCAGTGACTCATGTCCATATCCTAGCTACTCCGGAGGCTGAGACCTAGAAGATTACAGGTTGAAGCCAGCCCAGACAGAAAAACCCATCAGTCTGCAGCTCCAATTAATCAGCAAAAAGCTGGCCTGGAGGCATGGCTTAACAGGTAGAGGACCAGCCATGAGTAAGCAAGCTAAGTTCAAACCCCAGTTAATTACACTTCTGGCTTTTTGGTGGTTAGTTGGAGATATGAGTCTCACAGACTTTTCTGCTGAGGCTGACTTTAAACTGTGATCCTCAGGTCTCAGCCTCCTGAGTAGTTAGGTCTATAGGCATGATGAGCCACTGGTGCCAGACAAAACCATGAATTTTTCTGTCAGCCTAGGAAGGTATCATCTTTTCTCCTTTTTACAGATGGAAATATGGAAATTTTGAGCGAAGTCACTTACCTGGGAGCACATAGTCCATTAGTGTCAGAGTTAAATTTAGAATACATGTCTTCATTAGCTTTCATTAGAGAGGATATGTGAGTGGTGAAGAGTTGAGAAACACATTATGTTCATTTACTCATACCATACTTATTAAGTACTTACTAGCAGCCACTCTTACCAAACCCTGAGGCTACAATAAATGGTCAAATAAGATCAGTCCTTCCTGGCATACCTAGAATGTGGCTCATTATATATTCATTTCATCCTATTGTTCTGTGTGACAAGCAGGCAAAAAAAGGTGAATTTTAAACAGAGAAACTCAAACTGGACATCAGTGGTTCATGCCTGTAATCCTAGCTACTTAAGAGGTAGAGATCTGATGATTATAGCTTGAAGCCAAGAAATCCATGAGACTCTTATCATTAATTAATCACCAAAAAGCTGCAAGTGGCAGCTTTGGCTCAAGTAGTAGACTGCTATCCTTGATCAAAAAAGCTAAGCAACAGTGTCCAAGCCTGAGTGTAAGCCCAGTACCCACACAACAAATAACGGTCAACATCCACTGGGATCCCAGGAGGGTCCTCTAAGGAGATGAGACTTGAAAGAATCAGGTAACTGAAAGAAGAGCAATCCAGGGAAAAGGATTTGATAGAAAGGGAGAGGAGAGAGAGAGAGAGAGACAGACAGACAGACAGACAGACAGAGAGACAGAGAGAGAGAGACAGAGAGACAGAGAGACAGAGAGCGAGTGCAGAGGTAGAGAAGAGAGAGAATAGACATAGAGGGGCAGGGGTTCCAACCCTGATGTCCCTGGAAATAAGTCCCCTGCCTTTGCATTTTGGTACCGTCTCCCTTTTTGTGTCTTATGGATGCCATCCCAACTCTCCGCTCTCCCTCCTCACCTCACTCCAAGTACTGCATTGTAAGGAAAATTAGTTGTGAAACAACCAGGGGAAATCAAAGGTTAATTATCTAGGGGAACCATAGAGCCAGTCTCCTTACGTCTCAGGGGCTTAAACTCAGGCTCTTGCATTCTTGCGTGGCTTTTTTTTCACACAAGACTGGTGCTCTACCACTTGAGCCATACCTCCATCCACTTCTAGCTTTTTATTGGTTAATTGGAGATAAAGATCTCATGGATTTTTCTGCTCCTGGAATTTTCTGCCCAGACTGGCTTCCAACTATGATGCTCATATCTCAGTCTCCTGAATAGCTAGGATTGCAGGCATGAGCCACCAGTGCCCAACTTGCAAATGTCTTGACTTCTGCAAGTGATGTGTCTACTCCTTAGGTGGAATCCATCCTGTTTCCGGAGTTGAAAGGATATAACCTCATCATTGGAACTGTTGATCCTAAAGAAAATCTTGTTTCTGATTTCGTGGACCAAACTTTTGAAGTATTTAAGAAAAATCAAGTTGGCCCCTACAAGTAAGTTGTTTCGGTTGTAACTTTATTAGTCATTTGGTATTGGTCCCTACCTAACATCAGATAAGTGTTCCATGTTTTCCCACACACTTTTGAAACACATACATAATAAGAATCACCAATACTTCCATGAGTATGAATTTTTCCCCATTTTACTGTAGTCTTCCTAATGTTATATCACAGATAACTAGGAGAGCCAGAATTCAAATTCAGTTACAGATCCGTCTCGATTATCTGAAAGCTATGGGGCCAGATGAATTTTGGCATTTAGACATTTCTGGATTTTAGAAAAGTCATATAGTTCATCTGTCCTGCCAGGTCTGGGGCAACACATTATATTTCTATTGTGAAACCTATGTATATTCATATCAACATAGACCATTTTTTTGCCACAAAGTCATAGAACACAGTCAAGAAATCTTAGAATAGGGCAGCTAGATGTCTTAGTTTTGCTGGACAGCTAGAATTTGTACCTATTGTTCTATGATAATTGTTATGGTAGTTAATTGATGTGTGTGTGTTTGTGTGTGTGTGCTGGTCCTGGGGCTTGAACTTAGGGCCTGGGTACTATCCTTGAGCTTTTTCTTTTTAAATGCTCTGCTGCTTGAGCCACAGCTCTAATTCCAGCTCCCCTCCCCACCCCCCTTTTTTTGGTGATTAATTAGAGATAGGAGGATGGCTTCGAATCCTGATCCTCAGATCTCAGCCTCCTGAATAGCTAGGATTGCAGTTGTGAGCAACTGGCACCTGGCTGGAGATGCTTTTAAATATCCTATCACCCAAAGCACAGACCCTTACCCCATGACATGGAAGTTTCACAATGGAAATATGAAAAAAAGAAAGTTACATCCAATTCATTTGGTAGCAGTTCATGAATGTGCAATCACTAGTTTAGGGTGATTGTGGAATCTTGCTTTCAAACTGAAACTTTGAGAGTTAACTGTTATGCCTGTATTCTTAGCTACTCAGGAGGCTGACATCTGAGGATCAAGGTTCAAATCCAGCCTGGGCAGAAAAGTCTGTGAAATTCTTTATCCTTAATTAACAAAAATTAGAAGTGGAGGTATGGCTCAAGTGGTAGAGCTCCAGCCTTGACTGGAGAAAAGCCAAGCAAATGTGTGAGGTTGCGAGTCCAGGCTCCAGTACCAGCAATAGATGGATAGATAGATAGATAGATAGATAGATAGATAGATAGATAGATAGATAGATAGATAGATAGATAGATAGATAGATAGATAACTATTATTTGTTTCAAATGCTACTTGGGCCTATCTGATTTGTTGACCTGTATTTATGCATTTGCTTTTCTGTTCTTGAATATGGAAGATACTTAAATGTGTATAAAAAGTATGACGATTTACTGGACAACACAGCAGAACAAAACATCACTGCATTCCTGAAAGAAAATCATGAAATTGAGGATTTTGTGACGGTAGGAGATGACACTTGACATTTCATACCTTGGTGCTCCAGTCCATCCAATGAGTAGTCAGAGGGTTTCACTACTGCTCACTACTGGCCAAGGTTAAGGCTGGGGACAAATGGGTTGAGGCTCCTAAGAAACTCCAGCTGTGACTATGTTTTTTTCTACAGAGTATCAATGATATAAAAAAGCGGAAAAATGAAATTGCATCTATGCATATTACTGTGCCTTTGGCCATGTTCTGCCTTGATGCCATGGTCCTAAATTATGATCTCTGTGAGCGAGCTCAAAATCTTAAAGACCGTCTGATTCAACACCAAGTGGATGTAAACCGAGATACCAATACCAGGTATCATAGTTCTATACAAATACCAACCATACACTGACCAGAGAATGCAAAAGTGACCAGAACCTGTGTCTTCCCATAAAAGCTGAACTGAGCTTCTAGTTCAAGTTGTTTTTATGCCCAAAGTGAGAGCAACAGAGAGCTCAGACTCAGGGAAGGGGATATCAAGTCAGGAGAAAACTGCCTAGGACTGAAGCAAGAAGATAGAGAGCATCCTATGGAATTCTTTGCCTCAGATCCTGCCTAGCCACGACCCACATATTTTAGGCTTCCTGTTGTAGCTGAGATGGTAGGCTCACATCACACTCAGATTTTTGTTTTTGTTTCCAGTGAGAGAAAGTCTTGCAGATTTTTACCCCAGATGGTCTTTCCTTTCTTGTAAACAATTTTATAGTACTGAAAACTGTTTCCTAGGCATTGAGGTTGTCTGAGATCACAAGTCCTTCTTATGGGCTGGCTTTGAACCATGGTCCTCAGATCTCAGCCCCCTGAGTAGATAGGATAAACAGGCAGGAACCACTGGTACCCGGCTGTGTTGTTCTATTTAAAATGATAACCGTCTCTTTATTTTACTGATAATCGTATATTTATTAGTTGGATTTGGTTGTAAGCAATAGACTTGCTTTAGTAAATAAGTGGGGAGAGGAGGGACTTGGGTCTTAAATGTTGAAAAATTTAGGAGTTCTAGCTTCAGGCTTCAACACTATTGTTGTGTACCATTTCCTTTTTTCTGCTCAGCTTTCCTCTGAGTTCCTTTGATGGATTCTCTGAAGTCTGTGGTTCCTAGCCATTCCAGGATTCTATCCTTCCAGGTCTTGGGTTCCCATCTAAAAAGAGGAAAATAAAATCTTAAAAAATTTTTTTGAAGCTGGGTGCTGGTGGCTTATGCCTGTAATCCTAGCTGAGGAGGCTGAGATCTGAGGGTCATGGTTCAAAGTCAGCCTGGGCAAGAAAGTCCGTGAGACTCTTACCTCCAATAAACCACCCAGAAAACCAAGAGCAGAGGGACATTGCCCAGGCCCTGAGTTCAAGACCCCCCCATTTTGTTTTGAGTAGTCTCACAAAAAGTTGTGACTCATATGATGCTGTCCTAACTTGGGTTATTTGTACAACATGGAACCAAACACTGGCCGAAGAGAATGGCTTTAGATCTGGTTGGTGATCCCAGATAAGGGGTAGATGGCATTCCTAATCAAACCACAGAGGAGAGAAAACCCAAGAAAGGTTAGGATATTATTACCAAAAGAGGAAACAGATGTTGACAGCTTGAGATAGGAACTATCTGCTGCTATGTCTGTTTAAATGTTACAACATGGTTAAATCATATTCCATCTTTCATCCTCTGAGTTCTTTATAGACTGAGATAATTTAGAAATACTGACCACTATGTATGTTTACATTTATATTATGCTAATAGTGAGTGATTCAAATATATATATAATCTATGCTATATATATATAAGGTATTTTGAAGTTTATAAAACCCTGCTATGGTTTGGATAATGAAGTGTCCCCACAAAAGACTCAGTGTGTTGAAGGTTGATTTCCACCTAGCAGATCCAGCCACTGAGAGGATATTAGGCCATGAGAATTCCAATCTACACAGTGGAGTAACCCACTGATGGGTTTATGGTTTGATGGCATTACTGGCATTATCAGAGAGACCTAGGACCTAGTTAGAGGCAGTAGGTTACTGAGATGTGACTTTTTTAAAAGTATTTTTCATATTCTGTAGTTTGAACTCAGGCTCTTGCATTTTCTAGGCCAGGCACTGTACTGTGGAGCCATGTCTCCAAATAAGGTCTCAGTTTTTGTCCCACGGATCTGTGTGTCTAGACCATGCTCCACATATTTTAGGCTTGCTGTTATAGCTGGAATGACAGGCATGTTTCTTTCACTGACATGGAGTCTTGCAGAGTCTTGCAGACTTTTTCCCTGGAACTGAAATCCTCTGGATCTCAGCTTCTCATCTAGCTAGGAAGACAAGTATGCACCACCATGCCTAGCTATGGATTGAGAAGGGGTTTGTTGTGTGCCTGGGCTGGCAGGGAACCTCATTCTCTCTGATTTCCACCTCTCAAGTAACTAGAATCACAGAGGTGAGCCACTAGTTGCTCATTTCAAAGGACGTCCCTTTGAAGAGTGTCTTTTCCCTGACTCCTTCCTGTCTTGCTCTCTTCTTTCTGGCTACCATTATGTAAGTAGCTTGCTCTACTGCTTAGTCCTACTGTTCTGATATTCTGCCTCACTTCAGGCCCAATTGGATCCAGCTGACCATGGAGCAAAACCTTCTAAATTGTGGATCAAAAATAAAGCTCTTCTTTATGGTAGTTGTGTCATGTATCTTGCCACAGAATCAAAAGGCTGCCTAACACACACACACACACACACACACACACACACACACACACACCACAGAGGGAGAGAACAGCAAATTAATGATAATATCAAGGACACTACCATGCAAGCATTCTTCATAGTATAGATAGAATCCAGTCTTCAGAGGTTGTTCCTTATTCTCCTCATTGTGTTGATAAGGAAAAGGAGACTGGTGTGTTATTAAATGACACACCCATCTAGTTTATTACTTTATTTCATGTTGGTTCTGGTGCTGGTCCTTGGGCTTGAACTCAGCTCATGGAGGCTGTCCCTGAGCTTTGTGCTCAAGGCTAGCACTCTACCCGTTCAGCCACAGCTCCACTTCCAGCTTTTTTAGTAGTATTGGAGATAAGAGACTTCCCTGCCTGAGCTGGCTTTAAACCAAGATCTTCAGATCTCAGCCTCTTGAGTAGTGAGGATTACAGATGTGAGCCCACCTAGTTTATTTTAATCTTAAAAGTCTACACTTTCCACCACCATACTCAGCTTTCTCACTGAGTCAAAGAGTAAGTTTTATAGATTTGGAGCCAGAAAAGTTGATTTTGAGCCCCAAACCTCCCATTGACCAACTCTGTGAACCTTGGCTCTACCTCTTAGATCCTCAGTTTGTCTATAGTAAAAAGGACAATAAAAGGTTTTGAGGATACTTTCTTTCAAAAGTTTGAGCCATTCATCTTTCCCTCTTAAACAGCAGCCCATTTGTTCCTGCCTTTCAAATCAAAGCAATGTGGTATTTTACCTGGTTAGTGCAGTGTGTGTGTGTGTGTGTGTGTGTGTGTGTGTGTGTGTGTGGTGCCTGTGTGTGTGTGTGTGTGTGTGATTGTGTGTGTGGTGCCTGAACTCTGGGCCTGGGTACTGTCCCCCAGCTCTTCAGCTCAAGGCTAGCACTCTACCACTCGAGCCACAGCGCCACTTCTAGCTTTCTCTGCTTATGTGGTGCTGAGGAATCAAACCTAGGGCCTCATGCAAGCACTCTCTCACTGAGCCACCTTCCCAGCCCATTGTGCATCCATTTCTTTTTGTCAGTCATAGGGCTTGAACTCTGGGCCTAGGTACTTGTGCATCCATTTTTATTTTTTAAAAAAGCAAAAACAACAACAACAAAACCCCTTTGTTCTGTTTTGTAAAACTGGCGCATATTAGATGATGCATAGTAGGGGGGTTCATCATGACATTTCCACACATGCAGGCAGAGTGCTTTAATCATATTCACCTCCTCTATTTGTCTTTCTTATTCTCTACCTCTACCCTGCTTTTCCCTTCTCCATCTCCTTAGTAATCTCCCTTTTACTTTCATGACATGGGGGAAAAAAAAAACATGTGGCATTGTCTTTTTGGAACTGATTTATTTCACTTAGTGCAATGATGTCTAATTCCATCGAGTTTCTAGCAAATGACATTACACTCTTGTTTTGTTGTTGTTTTTGTTGTTGGATTTGTGTGTGTGCTAGGACTGGGGCTTGAACTCAGGGCCTGGACACTGCTCAAGGCAAAACTAGTTCTCTACCACTTATTCCACAGCTCCACTTCCAGCTTTTTGCTGGTTAATTGAAGATAAGAGTTTCAGACTTTCCTATCCATGCTGACTTCAAACCTTGATCCTTAGATCTCAGCGTCCTGAGTAGCTAGGATTACAGGCATGAGCCCAAAGCACCTGGTATGACTTCACTCTTTTTGATGGCAGAGTAAAACTCCACTGTGTATATCTACTACATTTTCTTCATACATCTATTGATAGGCATCTAGACTAATTCCATAAATTTGAGTATTGTGATTAGTGCCATGATCAGCATGGCTATACACATATTTCTATAGTAAGCTGACTTTTGATTCTTCTGAGTATATCCTACCTGGATCATATAAGAATTCTACTTTTGGGCTGGGAAGGTGGCTCAGTGGTAGAGCGCTTGCCTTGCATGCCTGAGGCCCTGGGTTCGATTTCTCAGCACCACATAAGCAAAAAGAAAAAAGCCAGAAGTGGCGCTGTGGCTCAAGTGGTAGAGCGCTAGTTTGAGCTGAAGAGCTGAGGGACAGCACCCAGGCCCAGAGTTCAGGCCCCACGACTGGACACCCTCCCCCAAAAAAGAATTCTACTTTTAACTTTTTGAGGATTTTCATACAGATCTCCATAGCACTTAGATGAGTTTACATTTCTATGGGCATGACTAAAAGTGTTTTCACCTCTTCCTCCTTGTTCTCACCAGTTTTTATTATTTGTTTTCTCATGATAGACATTTTTACTGGGGTGAAGTATAATCTCAATGTGTTCCTTCCTTTGCTTGCTTGCTTGCTTTCTTCCTTTCTGCCTGTCTGTCTGTCTGCCTTTCTTTCTTCCTTCCTTCCTTTCTTTCTTTCTTTCTTTCTTTCTTTCTTTCTTTCTTTCTTTCTTTCTTTCTTTCTTTCTTTCTTTCTTTCTCTCTTTCCTCATCCTTCTCCCCCTTCTCCTTTTTCTTTCACCTTGACCTTCCTCTTCTCCTTCTTTGGCATTACTGGGACTTGAATGCAAGGCCTCATTCTCTCACTGGCTTGCTTGCTCAACTGACCTTCTACCACTTTCACTTGGCTTTGTTCTAATTACTTAGAAATAGACTCTGGAGGATTTTTCTGCCAAACTTGGCTTCAAAACTCCAGATCTTAGCTTCACGAGTAGCCTCATGACTTGAGCCATTGGTGCCTAGCTATTACTGTAGTTTTGACTTGTATTTCTTATAGCTAAGATTATTAGGGAACAATAGTAATATTGGCTATTTGTACAACAATAATAATATTGGCTATTTGTACTTCTTTATTTGAAAATTGCTCATTTGCCCATTTATTATTAGACTATTTGTTCTTTTAATATTTAATTGAGTTCTTTATATCCTGGATATTAATCTACTGCTGAATTACTTTCTGACAAGGATTTTCCTCCCATTCTATAGCTGTTTCTTTATACTGGTGATTGTTTCCTCTGGTGTACAAAGGTTTTTATTAATTTGATTAATTTGATTTGTCTATTGTTGCTATTATTTCCTGAGTTTTAGTCAGAAAGCAATTGCCTAGTCTAGCTCTTCAAGTGTTTCCCCTATGTTCTTCTGTAGCAGTTTCAAAATTTCAGGGCTTCCATTGAGATTTTTGATTCACTTTGAGTTGACTTTTTGTACAAAGTGAGGGAAGGGCTCTAATCTCAGACTTCTAAATGTGGATATCCAGTTGTTCCAACATCACTTATTAAAGAGGCTTTGCTCCAATATATGTTTTTGGTACCTGTGTCATGAGTCAGATGAATGTTCCTACTTGGACTTATTTCTGGATATTCTATTCTCTGTGTGTCTGGTTTTATATAAATAGCATGGCATTTGATTACTATGGCTCTTTAGTATATTTTGAGATATTGTGAATATACTTGCAGTTATTGTGATACCACAACGTTACTCTTCCTTAATCTCTTTAATATAAGTGAAAATATGGTCCACACGCTCAATTTAGGAATTTCTGAGCATGCAGAAATCCTAGGTTGGTGGTCAGACTTCAATTTTGTGACTGAGTTCTAAAGTTTCTTTCTGTCTTTATAAGTAGTGACTCTGAGCCAGATTCTGGTGATTCATGCAAGGTACTTAGGAGGCTGAGATTTGAGGATCAAAATTCAAATGCAACTACAAATTATTTGATTCTCTAACATGTAAGATGAAGGGTTTGTGGTTGTGTTCTTATTGTTTTTGTTTGTGGTTGTACTCCTGTTGTTCTTGTTGTTTAGTTCTAAATCTGAGGGCATGATTGATTGATTGTTATAAAATTTTGAGGTTTAGAAAAGTCAATTAGCTAAACTTCAGACCTTGGCTGTGACAACCACATCCCATGTTACTTTAAAGTTACTCAGACTTACTTTCTTCTCTTATCGAATGCAGATAATAATAGAACTACTTTTTGTAATTGAATTAAGTTTAATGCATATACATGGGACTTGACACCTAATAAAAACTTGTCAGATGAAGCAAGAAATTCATTTTAGATGATGATAATCATAATAGTGACTGTGTTAATGATGGCTATTTCCTTTTCTGTAGCATTTGTACTCAGTACAGCACTATTGCTGACAAAGTCAGCGAGGTTCCTACCAACACTGGAGAGCTAGTATCTCTCATTGAATACTTAAAGAAATCCAGTGATGTCACTGTGTTCAAACTCAGGAGACAGCTGAGAGATGCAAGTGATCGGCTAGAGTTTTTGATGGACTATGCAGACTTGCCCCGTAAGTCTAATACCATACATGCATATATAATATAAAAATGTTCTATATTTGTATTTGTAAGACTAATGGATCAGAGAGAGGAAGAATTCTACACTATTAGAAGAATTGCCTTTCAAGTGATCCCCACATATGCAATACTAATTTATATCCATCCACAGAAATTTGAATCATAAGTGAATTTTACTGGACAAGAGTTGGCCTCTAGTTTCTAGATGCGTGTCTTGACATCTTGTGCCTATTGTACCTAGAAAAGTCACATCCAAATATAGGAAAGTGGTAGAATCACTTCTATTCTTAAGCAAATTTTTTTGAAAATTATTTTTAGTGTTCTTATAAAGGTGATGTACAGAGGGGCTACAGTTATGTAAGTCAGGTAATGAGTATATTTTTTCAACAATGTCATCCCTTTCCTAGCTCTTTCCCAGTTTCACTTTCTTTTATGCTTCTGAATATCTTAAAGGGAAAAATAAAAGGTCAAGACCACCTTAAAGCTTCAGGTTCTGAGGAAAAGAGTTGATATGCTTTCCATAAGCCAGTTTCCATCTGAAAATATTTGTGAGTTCCCTGGTGTTCACAGTATTGTGAGTTCACTGGTGGTCATAATGTGTGAGTTCCTTGGTGTTCACAAGGCAGGCTGCAGGGATGGGTTGACAGGGAGGAAAAGATAAGAATGAGTATAAAATGGTTTCCTAACCATCTACCCACTGACTCCCTTGGTCCTTGATTATGTGTATACATGCTGGATTTCCTTACTGTGGTGTCTGACTCTTAAATTCCCAAGGAAACCCAGGGCATTATCATTGACCAGAGTTACAATGGAAATTGGTACTATTATTTTCATTAAACCAACCAAAAGGAAAACTGAGATTCAGATGAGGAATTGGAAGTCTGACCTAGGTTTCTGGCTCTGCTTAGACCTAGTTTGAGAAGCCAGTAAAACAGAGTGGTTCAAACACAGACTTTAAAGGTAATTCGACTTAGATTTGGGATTCTGCTCTGCTCTCTTCTGGCAGTATAACCATAACCACTTGGCTGAACTACTTTGCTCCCTTTTGTAAAAATGAGGATGATAGATGCTATCTCCCTGCTAGCTGGCCCCTGATCAATAAACATTGGCTACCATTCATCCCTAAGGGGTCCAACCATCCACTGCCACCTACACTCACTTGTGTTGACCTCTTGTCCTACTGAATTAATTTTCTGCAAGTTGACCAGTGTTCTGGAGTAGACTGTGTGTCTTTTGCAGAAGAGGATATCAGATTGAACAGCACATTGTTCCTCTGGCCAGACCAGATTGAAGATATCTTTGACAACAGCCGAAGCCTGCTCATGGCTAAGAGGGATCAGGCAGAGATGGACCTGATTAAAAGGTAAAGGAAAAAAAAAAGGTAAAGGAGAGTTTGGGGTTTGTTTGGAAACAGGGCTTCTTAATCCATGCTGCAGATTCTTGACTAGAACCCCTACCCCCATCCTCTGAGCAATGAGTGGGCAAAGACTAAAGATAGTTGTTGATGCAGAAATTCCTTGTTTTCCACTGAGGGATGTCTTCTTAAAGCTTGCTTCACTATATTGACCTTTTCTCAATGTCTTTCTTCCTGGCCTTGAATTACTGAAATTTGGCAAAGAAGATACAAAAAGACAAAAATAGTGGCATGTAATAACAGCTTCCACAATAATAATAATAGAAGATCACAAATTTGTGACATATCAAGATAGGGGAAATAAAGACATAGTAGGGGGCTGAGCCAATAGTCTTGTTTTGCAGCTGGTATTTTGCAGAGCTATAATGTGTCTATAATCAATCAGTCTCATGATGACAGGCATATATTAAGGATTTTTACTCTGTACTATAATCTAGACATGTATGTGTTTGCTACATAAAGAGTTCAATACAGTGACACAGTAAATAAAAACAGATTGAAGGATTTGACAATGTTGAATGTAGGGGACCAAGTGCCATGGCACGATTAATGCACACACACACACACACACACACACACACACACACACACACATCCATTCCAGCTTGTAATACTTTCATTATGAATTGCAAATTTCTATCAACTGCATTATCTCCAACTGCCTAACTTCAGCTACCAAAATCCCTACAAATACTTATAAGAAAGGAAAAGGGTAGATAAAAGGGCTTCTGGCTGGGTACTGGTGGCTGTTACCTTTTAATCCTAACTACTCAGGAGACTGACATCTGAGGATCATAGTTCAAAGCCAGCCTGGGCAGGAGAATCCATGAGCCTTCTTATCTCCAGTTAACCACCAGAAAACCAGAAGTGGCACTGTGGTTCAAAGTAGTAGAGCGCTAGCCTTGAGCAAAGTAAAAGCTCAGGGACAGTGCCCAGCTCCTGGGTTTAAACCCTAGGATGGACAAAAAAAAAGTAAAAAAGAAAAAAGGGCTTCTCTACAGTATATAGAATGAGAATTTGAGCTGAAAGGTAAACTCATTTTGTTGGTATCTTGATCTGCTTCCCAGGGGATATGAACAAATAGTGTATGTATTTTCTTTCCTACAGTACAGTCTTATAAGTGGATGCTGTCTCTAGAGCCCAGAGGTTATCCTGATGAACTGGCTATGCTTTTCTTATTCTTTCTTCCCTTTTTCCCTTCTTTTCTTTCTTTCTTTCTTTCTTTTTCATCATGGAGCTTGAACTCAGGGCCTGGGTACTGTCCCTGAACTCCTTTTTGCTCAAGGCTAGTGCTCTACCACTTTGAACCAAAGCTCCACTTCCAGGTTTCTGGTGGTCAATTGGAGATAAGTCTTATAGACTGCCCAGGCTGGCTTTGAACCTCCATCCTCAGATCTCAGCCTCCTGAGTAGCTAGGATTACAATTGTGAGCCACAAGTACCCAACTTCTGTTCTACCTTCTTGTTTTGGTTTTTGTTTTTTGTCGGTCATGGGTCTTTAACTCTGGGCCTGAGCACTGTCCCTCAGCTCTTTAGCCCAAGGCCTAGCGCTCTACCACTTGAGCTACAGTGCCACTTCCAGTTTTCTGGTAGTTTATTGGAGATAAGAGTTTCACAGCCTTTCCTGCCCGAGCTGGCTTTGAACCTCGATCCTCAGATCTCAGCCTCCCGAGTAGCTAGGATTACAGGCATGAGCCCCGGGCCCCCGGCTACATCTACCTTCTTGAACCTCCAGTTTTTTGGTGGTTAGTTGGAGATGAATGTCACAAACTTTCCTGCCTGGGCTGGCTTTGAATAGCGATCCTTAGATCTTCAGCCTCATGGGTAGCTAAGATTATAGGCATGAGCTACCTGTGCCCAACTATATTAATTTTCTTAATGTTATAAGGTATGCATTGAGTTTTATGACTGCATTCTCTCCCTCCTTCTTCCCTTCCTTCCTCTCCCCACTTCCCTTTGACTTCACCCCCACCTTTCAAGAACCCATTTCCTGTTTGATTGGACTGTGAGTTCCTGACTATGCTTTGTATAATGGAGCAAAAAGCACAAGGGCTTTCCTCATAGCCCCCACCACATTCATGCACATATAGCTTCTTTTTTTCCTAACCAGAAAGTCAAAGGAGTTTTTGTTTTTGTTTAGTCAGTCATGGAGCTTGAACTCTGGGCCTGAGCACTGTCCCTCAGGTCTTCAGCTCAAGGCTAGTACTCTACCACTTGAGCTACAGCGCCACTTCCGGTTTTCTGGTGGTTTATTGGAGATCAGAGTTTCATGGACTTTCCTGCCCTGGCTGGCTTTGAACTGCAATCCTCAAATCTCAGCCACCTGAGTAGCTAGGATTACAGGCGTGAGCCACCGGTGTCCGGCTTCAAAGGCATTTTTATTAGTCAGGGAAGCAAGTTTTGTCACCCTTTTGAATCTCAGTTTGTCTCATCTGGAAAATGGGATAGCATTAGCACATACCTCATAGTGCTGAAGGATGGAATGAGCTGTGCTGAGCGCATATGGACTGTACAATAGCCATTCCCATACTGTAAGTTTCCTTCTCCCTTGGAAGAGTGACTTATGGGGCTGATAAATCCATAACCTCAGACCACTGTCATGAGAATATGCTGTTACATCACTATAAATGTAATAGGAGGCAGTAAGCGTTATTGAAGATTAGCCCTGGGGATGTAGAGCAGTTGCATTCACAGCGAGAAAAGCGTACTGGGTTTCTATTCCTTAGAGGCAATGCGGTGGTTCTCTCTGGTTGGTCCCTGACCTCTTAGCAGCAAGAGGGAGCCATGCTAGAAGAATCAACAAGGCAGCCCTGAGCTCGGCCCTTTCTTTGGTGAACCTTAGACATTCATCCTGTCCATCTTTTTTTTTTTTTTTTTGGGTCCAGTCATGGGGCCTGAACTCTGGGCTTGGGCGCTGTCCCTCAGCTCTTCAGCTCAAGGCTAGTGCTCTACCACTTGAGCCACACCGCCACTCCTGGCTTTTTTCTTTTTGCTTATGTGGTGCTGAGGAATCGAACCCAGGGCCTCAGGCATGCAAGGCAAGCGCTCTACCACTGAGCCAC